TAATTAGCAGTAAACCAAATGAAAAAATAATTTCGTCGAATATGCCATGCAAAAGAAAATCTAAAAGATGGTCGAAATGTGTGCCACCTGTTCTCTTCAGGGACCTTTGAATCTGAAAATAACGAAAAGTTTTCAGATTTCGATTTTCCTTGACTAGAGCTGGGCCTGCTATCGTTCCATGATTTCGGGTTTCTTTTGCCTGGCCAATCAGACGTTCTCTTCAAGTGAATTTGCAATAAGTATATAGTTTTTTTCTGATCCTGTGTTCGCTGAAAACATCGATTTAGTTAAGTATAATAAGGCCTGCAATTGCGTTGGCCAGGTCCAACGTGGGAGAAGATAATTCCACTACAACGACGGTTCGTCAAAATTGATGCTTTCAGGTACGTCGCAACGTGGGACCCGAAATCACATCGACAGAAGACAGAAGACATAAGGATTAATCCCGGAATGATCTAGATGTATTTCTATCATTCCGTTGAAAGTGAAATAAGAGTTCTATCCCAATGATCATGTCATGTGGGTCTGGCAGTCTTGTTTCATGGGTCGAACTATGAAATATCGTTTCATTTTACAATATTTAATTCATGTTTTGTGTGCTAGTTGTTTTTAGTATTTTGTCACTGTGTGGGTTGGGAGTATATTGTATGGTAATGCTTAGTGAACAAATGCGATATTTTATATGGTCGATCCATATTCTGGTATCCCTAGGATGCTGAACCAATTTTGATTCCGAATGATATCCAAAATGACCCCGCCGATGACATTTTATAGTCTTTTTGATTCGAATTAGAGTAACGTAAATTGTTCGGAAAATCGTACTTTGAATTATCTAATTCACTAAATATAATTTCAACGATGAAAATAAAAATTCTAGGTTTTCTTATATTCGTCTAAAGTGTTTATTAGATTGGTGCAATTGATAGCATTAAAATAAATTGAAATCGTCAACTACTGATGTAGAGTGTTGCAAATTGTAGCATTATCATAAATTCAAATCATCAAATGTCAAATATTGATCTGAAGTGCTTAGATTTTTGCAAATGATACTAGTATCACCATAAATTGATATCATCAAATATTGTTCTAGTAATGTATTCATATTTTTGCAAATAACAGCATTATTATAATTTCAAAGTACATTCTGAATATTTTATTACGTTCTAAAATGTGTTAGTATTATCTAAATTTTGAATTAATTAAATAATTAATCTTAATTTACGTGTATCAAAAATAATAATAATCCTTCTGGATATCCTGGTCAAATGGCTGGGTTGTATGGCTCTTAAAGGTATCATTAGTAGCATCACTAAACTTAGAATTGAATCTAAAAATTATTAATCAATTATGTCATAGAATTAGTATATTCATTATTTAGTATAACTTTGTATCGAGATACAACAATTTTAGTGGCAAATTCTTGAAATTATATGCAAGATAGGAAATGAATTCTTAGCGTTAGAGGCATATGTTTATTTAATGGCATAGGATATAATTATGATGTAAGGAATATGACATAGGATTAAGAAGACCATTGCGTTTAACCACGTATCTGTCAGTATAATTATTGTAGTATATGTACAAGGAACATGACAATTTGTTTAGAGAGTTCATTTATTTCAGTTATCGATAATTATGAAAACGGTTGATTTATTCATTGAAAATGAACTCTCGCTGTAGGTTCACCCGTGTAGGGGCGGGTAAGAATACCCCTACAGTATTCCCTGCTTGTCGTTAGAGACGAGTAAAAGGGAATTCATTTTCTCATTTCTTTTGTTTGTTTTTTTTCTGTATACTCCCTTTTACACTAGCGGTTGAGTTGATTTTTTAATTATTAGAGATAATCAGATTTACATGAGATTTCAATAGAAATTAATGCATAAATAATTGACGTAGAATTAAGGTAGAATCGAATTGGGATTAGAGCGTAATTGTTTTGCAATCAAAACAGGATTAAATTTTTAATGAAAGCGCAATTGAATTGCAATTATAGCAGATTTAGATTAGAATTGAATAACAAGCGAGTTAGAATTGAAGCGTAACTGAGTTACAATTAAAGCAATATTAAGTTATAATTAAAGCAGAATTAAATTAGAATTAAAGCGCAATTGAGTTATGTGAAGGAGTAATATTGTAATTCGCTCCTTTCTCTATTATGCAGAGTCATCTGACGTGAGCCTCAGAGTGTAGGGGGGGGCTAGATGCGTGCGCTAGAAGAATAGAGTAGTACATAATATGGCGATGCGTAACGTGAAATGTGCCAAGCACGTGTTTTCTGTTATCTAATTTAATCGGTGTTATAATAAGGGCATACATTAAAATATATAATCACGCATAAACTCTAACAGGTTATGGGCCCAGGAATATACATATATATTTTTTTTGTGTACCGGTTGTGTTGAATATTAAATAATAAGTGCAAGAGAAAGCATAGCTTTCGTAACTGGGAGCGTGTCTAAAATTGAGGTCCTCAATAAGGACAATTACGACACATGGTGCATGCAAGCAGAAGCACTATTAGTTAAAAACGATGGATGGGAATATGCAGCCGGGACGATGAAACGACCCGTGGTCGTCGAAGAAGATGCGACGACTGAAGCAGCGGCAACGGCATGGGACAGAGGTGACCGAAAGGCCAAAGCCGATATAATATTATGCGTAAGTCCATCAGAACTAAATCAGTTAAAAGGGTGTCGGACGGCACATGAGGTCTGGCAAAAGTTGCGAGCAACGTATGCATCGCAAGGGCCAGCCAAGAGAACCACGTTGCTGAGACGGCTCACAACGCATCGCATGTCGAGTGGCGATGATGTCCAGCAACATATTAATTCTTTTATTGAGATTATAGGAAAACTGGCTGAGATGGACATTGATATACATAAAGACTTGCAGAGCGCTATGTTGTTGAATAGTTTGCCAGAAAGTTTCGAGAATTTCGGATGCGCTATAGAGTCTCGAGACGAACTTCTTGATTTGGATACGATTAAAATAAAGGTATTGGAGGAATACGAAACAAGATTGCAGAAACGTTCGGAGGAACACGGAGCGATGGCAATCAAACATAACCATTGGAAAAACGAAAAACAAATAAAACGAGACAAAGGGGGAAATAAAACGTATGCTCCTGGGAAACCGCCAATTAAATGCTATGAGTGTGGCAAATTGGGTCATCGTGAAGCTGATTGCTGGAGAAAAAGAGGTAAACAAAAATCTACAGCAAAGACCCTGAGCATAGATATTGGTGTCTCCATAGTGGGTGCACAACCCACCGTTGTAAAGACAAATCCAAGTTCGCTCAAATGAATAGTTCTAGATATGACAAATTAAATCTCGCGAATGATGCTTCAGCTGCAGTAAAAGCACAAGGGGATGTTAGCATTACTACAATTTTAAATAACAATGTTAAGCGAGTTGATTTGAAAGACACATTATATGTACCTGATCTGAGAACGAATTTGTTGTCTATAAAGAAAATAACGGAGAAGAATCATGAAGTAATTTTTAGGAAAAACGAAGCCATCGTGGTTGATCCAGAAGGAAGAGTTAGATTAAAAGCAAAGCGTATAGGAAATTTGTACTACCTACGTGAGGAAGCAGAAGATGGAAAAATTATAACCTCTAAAGAAAATTCTAACCTACAAGGAAATTCAAAATTTCGATTATGGCACAACAGGTTGGGTCACCTGAACGCAAAGGACTTAATGTATATGGCCAGAAGTGAAGATGACGTTAGAAGCGGCGCAAAGTGTTGTCATTAATACTGCCATCTACGTAAGACAGATCGTTGGAAAGGTGACGTGTGCAGCTTTCATTTCAAACAAAATAATTTGTGTAGATACAAACTGCTTCGAGAAAGATTACTTTCAAAATGAGTGTCGATAAGGCTTTACGAATTTCGGAAGGGAATAAACGTTGCAGCAGCTGTAAAAAACATTCAAGAGGTTTATCAAGATCAAGCACCAGCTAAACGCACTGTGGAAAAATGGTTTGCGAAATTTCGCCGCGGAGAGTTTAACCTTGAAGACGAGCCACGCTCAGGTCGACCTTCAGGCATTGATGACGATGTTGTACGTACTTTAGTTCAGAATACTCCGCGAATTTCAACAGAGGAAGTTGCTACTGCACTTAACGTTGACCGAGCAACCGCTTTTCGGCGTTTAAAAAACATGGGATTCGATTTGAAGCTCGATATATGGGTGCCCCATTTGCTGACCGAGAGGAACAAAGTCAAGCGAATTTCTGCTGCCGTTTCTTTACTCGGGCGGCTCGAAAACGACCCGTTTTTGGATCGATTAGTGACGGGCGATGAGAAATGGGTCCTGTACAACAATGTTCAGCGCAAACGCACGTGGAAACAGGCAGGTGAGCATGGTGACGCAATGGCAAAGGCCAGTTTGCACCCGATGAAGGTGATGCTCTGTGTTTGGTGGGATTGCAAGGGCATAATTTATTTTGAGTTTCTCCCCGCTGGCCAAACGATTGATTCGGACAAGTACTGTCGCCAATTAACCAATCTGAATCGAGCAATCAAACAGAAACGTCCGATTTTGTCAAATCGCAAGGGCGTAGTCTTTCATCACGACAACGCCAGACCACACGTTTCGAGACAGACGCAGCGCAAACTGAACCGCCTGAAATGGGATGTCCTAACTCATCCACCGTATTCTCCTGATATCGCACCATCGGATTATCAGTTGTTCCGGCCATTGCAAAATGACTAAAATGATTGATTTAACAGAATAACCCGCCATCTGATGTCAACACCTTATCGCAATCACAACCACAATCTATAGGATCAATCTCTACATTACCAACACTCGATGATATCAGAGATCTTATCCGTTGTGAGTTTGCGAATTTTCAACGTGAGATTTTAAATGAAATTCGATCTGAGGTGGCAGAAATACGAGCAACATCTTTGGAACTTTCCGACCGAATTACTATACTGGAAGATAAATTATCGAATTCTTTAGAACTCCATAGTTTGGATGGAACAGCTGAATTTGTTATTGAGGAAATGAATAAAAGACGCGAAAGGTCTCGCAACATAATTATTCATGGGCTAGATCAACCACCCAACCTTTCCGTTCAAGACTCCTACAAATATGATACTGATAAGATTAAATCATTACTTCAACAAATTCAACCGGACAATTTGAATATTATTCGCATTCAAAGAATTGGCAATCCCGAAAAATCCAATAGTAGACCAATTCGTGTCACCCTCAAGTCATATGATGAAGCCATTTCCATTCTAACAAACAAACACCGATACAGTGGGCCATATAAGATTTCCGACGACAAAACCCCCATGCAACAGGAGTACATAAAGAAACTAAGAACACAACTAAAAGCCCTTCATGATAAAGGTGATAACGCTAAAACTATTAGATATATCAATGGTATACCAAAGATCACAAACACGTCATCAATAAGGCAATCAAAAAACGGACACTCTCTATATACTACCAGAACGTAAGGGGGTTAAGAACTAAAACCAAAGAACTTCTTCACAACATCAATTGTTTCTGCATCAACTATGATGTTATTATTCTCACGGAGACTTGGATGAACAACAGTATTTCCACCGACCAACTTGGACTAACAGCTTATACTGTTCACCGCTCTGATAGAAACGCCAATACCAGCCATTATTCTAGAGGAGGCGTATTGATAGCGATTAAGAACTCATATCACAACTCTATCATAAATGTTTCATCAAACAATACTGAGCAGCTCTTTATATTAATCACTGTTAATAATCATCAACTTGTAATCGGATCTGTATACTTTCCGCCATCTTCAGAATCATATAAATTCAGCGAGCACTTTGAAAGCATTGAGGAAATATCACTTCGTTATCCACATGCCCATTTTTTGATAGCTGGATACTATAATATTTCTCAAATAATACTAAATTCTAATATACTTCTGCCTTCCAACTATTCTAATTTTTCTACTAACACAGTCATGAACAATCCAATACATAATATTATCCTTGAAACATGTAATTTATGTAATCTACAGCAAAAAAACTTTATCCTCAATGCTCACAATTCCATTCTTGATCTTATATTTTCTAATATACCGAACTTAATCATCAATTCCTCTTATGATTCACTTCTCCCTCCAGACAGTTATCATCCTCCTTTACTTATTCAATTTGATTTACTTATCACACCTATACATATTTCCGAATACCACCTCAGAAGTGATTTTATTAATGCGAATTACGATGGTATATTGGAATATTTTAACTGTATCGACTGGGATTCGATTTTAACTGGTTTATCAGTGAATGAAGCGGTTAATTTTCTATACTCATCAATTTCTTATGCTACTACTGTATTTATTCCTAATCGTAGAATAGGTCGTTCCAAGTATCCTCTTTGGTTTTCACCCGAGCTTATAAAACTGGTTAAGGAGAAAAACGCTGCTCACTACTCATTCAAGAGCTCAAACAATTATCATGACTACTTGTACTTTTCTCTACTCAGATCAGCCTGTAAATCTCTTTCGACGAACTATATAACGACGAACTATAAACTCTATAAGAATTATATAACGAAGGTAGAAACACAGATTCCTAATAATTTAAAATCTTTTTGGAAATTCATTAACTCGAACCGTAGTTCAAATAAACTCCCGAATACCATGAACCTAAATAGTATTACTCGATCAGGAAAGGAAGATGTTGCTAATCTCTTAGGGGATTACTTTGAAAAGAGCTATGCTGCATCTAGTCCTATTCTTAGTTTTGTAAATAGGAGTGGCAATAATAGATTAGATATTTCTAATATCAGTATAAATATAAGTGAAGTATTACACGAAATCAAGAATTTGTCTGATGATAAATCACCTGGTATTCATGGTATACCATCTATATTCTTCAAAAAATGTATATTTATTTTATCTAGACCGCTATGGATTATTTTTAACAAATCTTTGTCTTCTGGTCAATTCCCTCGATTGTGGAAATCTAGTATTATCTCTCCTATTTATAAATCTGGCGATACCTCATCTGTTACCAATTATACACCTGTATCACTAATCAACATCATGGCTAAAATATTCGAAGGTACAGGGTGGCGCAAAATGATCTTTATGTTTTAAATTCTTTATAACTTTTTTAATTCAACATTTTTTCAATTTTTTCTTTCAGAATGTTGTAAACAAGACTTCTAGAATTTAATATGGAAAGATACACAATTGAACAACGAACAAAAATCATCGAATTTTATTTTGAAAACCGACGGTCAATAGTTTTGACGCAGCGTGCATATCGTCGATATTTCAATGTGCCGACGGCACCAACAGTGCCAACAATACATCGTTTGATTGCAAATTTTCAACAAGGAGGGTCAGTGAGGAACCTCCCCAGTACAGGAAGACCTCGTACGGCGCACACAAATGAAAATATCCAACGTGTACTGGAGAGTGTGCAGGATAACCCAGAAACATCAACAAGGAGACGCTCGGCTCAACTCGGGCTATCGCGAAGATCCCTTCAGAGAATTTTAGCCACATTGCACATGTTCCCATATAAGATCCAGCTTGTGCAAGAATTAAAGCCGACAGACTACGCGCAACGGATGGATTATGTCATTTCGTTGCTTGAAAAACAAGACCAGAGTACCGATTTCATCCACAATTTGATAATGAGCGATGAAGCTCATTTCGAATTAAATGGTTTTGTTAACAAGCAAAACTGCAGGATATGGGCTACGGAGAATCCAAGAGCAGTTCATCAGCAACAATTACACCCACTCAAGTGTACTGTTTGGTGCGGTATATCGTCCGAAAGGATCATTGGCCCATATTTTTTCGAAAATGAAGCCGGTAATGCAATTACCATCAATGCTGCTCAATATCGGGCAATGTTGGAAAACTTTTTGAGGCCAGCGGTGGAAAACCATCCACAACTGTGGTTCCAACAAGATGGAGCCACAGCGCATACTGCAAGGGAAACAATGGCTTTGTTACGAGACATCTTTGGCGAACGCATTATTTCGCGCAATAGTGACTTTAACTGGCCACCGCGTTCACCGGACTTAAGCGCTCCCGACTGTTTTCTTTGGGGGTATTTGAAAGAGCGAGTATACGTCAATAAGCCAGCGACCATCCCCCAACTGAAAACCAATATTCGCAATGAAATCCGTGTAATAACACCTGAAATTTTGCGAAAAGTCATGGAAAATGTGTTGGAAAGAGCACGAATGTGTCAAGCAGAAAATGGCCGCCATTTGCGAGATGTAATCTTTCGCGTCTAGTTCAATAAAATTCCTCTTCTGTACACTATATTTTTTCCAATATGTATTTATTTCACTCTAAAATAAAAAAAGTTATTACGAATTCAAACCATAAAGGTCATTTTGCGCCACCCAGTATTATAGTAAGCAAAATTAGCCCACTCTTGACTAATGTTACAAGTGACGGTCAACATGGATTCCTTGTTGGTCGCTCTACCACTACAAATCTGGCTATTTTTTGTAACGAAACATCTAAGGCATTAAATAACAACTTACAAGTTGATACTGTTTATCTTGACTTTAGGAAAGCCTTTGATCGAGTTAATCACTTCGCTCTAATTGATAAGCTAGCGGGTTATGGGATTGGAGGTAACCTTCTGAAGTGGTTGTTTTCTTACATAAGCGGCCGCTCGCATTGCGTGAGAGTCGGAAACTGCATTTCTCGAAAGATTATGGTTACTTTGGGTGTACCAGAGGGAACTCATCTTGGACCGTTACTTTTTCTCCTTTTCGTTAATGATATTGATTACTGTATAGATAACTGTAAATTCTTGACGTTCGCGGATGACCTCAAGATATATAAAACCATTAATTCTAGAGCTGATCACTTATCCATTCAATCCACACTTAATAGAATAACGGAATGGTGTTATAACAATGGAATGGAACTTAACACGGACAAATGTCATATTATAAGATTTTCTAGAAGCAGTAATCCATCTATCTTTTCGTATTCTATATGTGGTAATCAATTAACAGTTAAATCTTCAATAAAGGATCTAGGTATCATTATATCTTCATCATTATCATTTGATGAACACATTCAACACATTTTATTGATCACAAATTATTTTTGTTACATTATATTGAAGTATTAGGAAACAAGAGAATGAATAACGCATTTGTTCCGGAAGAAAATAATTTTCAAAGCATTTTAGACATCTCAACGTTAACATTGTCTATCCAAGCAGACAAAATATTCTTCAAAATTTCAATTCCAAGTATTATTGATATGGAATGGGACATAGAGCAAGTATATCCCATACCATTTCTTAAAAATAACATATTTATGGCTCCTTTAGTGGAACACTCAATATTTTTAACCTCTGGACTAAATTACATAAACATTGATCAAAATCATCTGGACAAACAATGTTGTATTCGACACGAAGTTTATATTTGTAAACAGACACAACCTGTTCACGATCGTCGCACAAAACACGACTGTACATCTGAAATTAGTTCCATTTTTTTGGGATTAAACAACAATCCCAGTCCAAGTACCCCGATAACTGTCCCATCAGCACCAATCAACATCTACACTCCGATGCTACCGGCTCAAGAACGTGGAGAACCAAGGGTAACATTCGACCTGACTCCGAACAAGGCCAAATTTCACCCATCCATACTCAAAAAGCGGAAGAACTTAGAGGACTAAGTTCAATCTACGAAGGGGGGAATGTCACCCAAAA